TCTTTGTAAATAGGGAAGGGTGGAGGGGGTGAAGGGAGGGCTAGGAATGGGGAAAAAATAAGAACCAAGATGCATTATGTAAAGGTACAATTCCCAGTGACAAATGTAATTGTGTTGTATACCTACAATGTACCAATAAAAGAATTTAATTAAATGACGAGAATTTTTTTGTGAGATGGAATTCTTTCATTATAATGATTCACTGAACCTGACTGTGTTAGATCATGAAACTGACTATATATACAGTGATTGTTTTTGACTATCAAAGAGCAAGTTTATACAGTTTAACCTAATACTCCTGAATCAGTAAAGTAGAATTTATATTTTCCTAGAATTTATCATTTTATCTAAATTTGCTGGTATAACAGTATATACAGTTTTCACTTATGATTTTTTAATTATCTTCATATTGGAATGAGTTTGTTAACATGTATTTAAAGTTTCTTGAACTTTTAAGAATAAATTATGGTATAAATAAAAGTTCTATTAAAATTTCAAAAATTCAGACACCAATTCTTAGTTTTCTTTCTAAACTGCAAGCTTCCAAATAGGTCATAGATTGCTTTCAACCACTTCATGAATACAATATGCCAAATGTATATGTAATTGCACATAAATATTTTCTTGGAAGTGAATTTACAGTTTTATTAGATTTTCAAATGTTTATAAGCCCCAAATAATTTTAAGACACAAAAAAGTCAACAAAGTAACTTAATAGTACAGATATTTCAATGTAAATATATACATACATTCTATTTTATTTATTGAAGAATTAGAGAAATTTTCATTCTTTTGGAAATTATGGATAGGTATATTAGATTCACTTTTCACTCAACATACCTAAAGACGTGACTATCATGTAAGGTTTCTAATACTGACTTGTTACTAAAGATGAACTAAAAGGAAGATCAAGTAAATGGGAAATGTAGAGAACAGTGGAAACAAACATGACGCATAAAGGGGAAGTAAATGAAAGGTGGGCATAAAACAAGCCTAAAAAGTAAAGTTTTTCTGATCTCAGGGAAGGGAATATAATCATAAAAACCAGAAAAAAAAAAGGAGAGAAGGAACAAGTTACCATGTAATATATAACCTTTTTAAATAAGATGGAAAACAAAAGCAGGGAGGTACTAAAAAATATAGAAGGCCCAGGAAATTGAAAAGCAAATAGACTTCCACCAGCACAGAGGAGGTGAGCTGCTCCCAGTGAAAAGGAGGAGGCTTCCAGGCCACCGTACCACCCCTGCTGGCACAGAGGAGGTGAGCCACACGGATGCCAGCAGCAACCCCCCTGCACTGAAATGAGAAGACATGTAAACAAGCTTCAAAACCAGACTTCCAGATCACCTAAAACAACCCCAAATGGAAAAGAGATGGAACACTCTGATACTCAACCACTTGCACTCCCTGAACTGGCAACAAAAGAGGATCTGGAAAAAATGAAATCAGAAATAATTTCTCACATAACAGCAGAGATTGTGTCCATAGTGCAAGACATGATTAATAAATCTAGAGGACGCAGATAAAAAAATAGAGGATCTGAGGAACATGATGGAATCCCAACATAGGAAACAAATGGAATCCATAAAACAGATGCAAACAGATT